GGGTTATGGATTGGGAAGGGAGAGTGAATGGAGGAGATTGTAATCTGACATCTTCTTCTTCGTCGGGTTGTACTAGTATGGGTGCTGGAGGATTCAGTTATATACAACACACCGTTTCTAAATTTGATACCCTTGCTGGTGTAGCTATCAGATATGGTGTTGAGGTAAATTCATTCTTTCAATTATTTCATTCCACAACCAGGACTTCTTTACATCACTGCATATTTTGAAACCAAACCAACCGATTCCGTGCAGTAAAGTGACCAGTTATTTTGCTCTCAGGTGGCTGATATTAAAAGGATAAATGGCCTCGTATCAGATCTCCAAATGTTTGCTCTCAAAACACTTCAAATACCGTTACCTGGGAGGCATCCCCCATCGCCCATCATATCAAATGGTCAAGGGTATTGCTTCACTTACCAATTTACTATTCATACAGGCTTTTCATGTCTAAAGAACTATATTTGTGGATCTATGTTTTGTATTTCCAGTTTAGATGCAAGTCTTATTACTTGTTTATCATAAAACCTACCTTTCATAATCCAGCTGCCTTAAATTGTGTTTGAGGTTACCTCTGCCCAATTGAATTTACTCCCTATTTTTTACTATCAATCAGAATTTTGATTGGGGACCAACTCAATCGCTTATATTTATGCTTCTCTAGCTACTCAAATCATATCTTTATTGGTCTTATGTTGCATATTGAGGTCAACCGACCTTTCTTTGCTTCTGAATTTTTATCTAGGGCTTGCTTGGTCTAGGTTTTGTTTGATGTACCCTGTGAAAGCAAAACTTCTAACAAATCATTTAGCTTAGGTAGTAGATCATATGTTGCTCGGCTCCTCCAAATGACTGCCGCACCTGTGTTGGATCCCCCAATAATGAATAACTTTTGGATGATCCGACACAGTCGACAGCATTTTTCTTTTTAGAGGATCCAACACACAGCCAATGGCATTTTTTAAGGATCCAATCAGCATAGGGTAGAAGTAATCTTCCTTACACTTGGACTAATGGATCTCCTACTGCATTTTGGTGTACAAAGATTGTGGATCAATCTGTTCTCCAAAAAATAGTAAATAGTTGTACACCAGCATTATTTGACCCTAGCTGTAGATATAAGTAGAGATCGAGTGGCAAAGAAACCAAGCTGTTCTAAATGATTACTTCGGCTTTTTCATTTAAGTATTTGGGATCAGCTTGATGTACTTAGATTTATTTATTGATGAGTCAGGCTTAGTAAGTGTTTTTGTAAGTACTGATTTTACATGATTTTCTCACATCCTTAGTCTTGAAGAAAATAGCAGAGATCCATACCAATCACAAAGAGAATGCTTTTGGTTTTTTTTGTTTGTTTCAAGATTGATAAGCTTACTTAGTTTGTCTCACGAGAAGTTTCTTGCATGTGCAACTGTTGTCTTTTTGTACACCTTCACAAGTCAGTTAGTTCTTCCCTCAATATCCAATACTGAAGGGAGAATTACTGTCTTACACGAGACACCTCTTATGAACAAGCTATGAATGTCATCTAACAAACTAGAGGTGGATGACATTTGGGCCCTGAGAAAAATGTAGGGAACTTGTTCTATGCAGTTTTAGAGTCAGCTATCAAAGTGACAAAAAAAATAAAGGACATGTGATAATGAGAGATCATAAGGGTTTTATCACTAATCTGGCCTAGACAAGCTGAGAGGAGGAACCTGAACTCTGTTTGAAGCTCATGCTTTTTAAATAACAAGTTTCAGCAGAAACTGTTATATGACCTGTTGAAGTTACATGTTTGGGGATTGTGTTAAGTTGATTTACCTCTACATTGAATATTTGTATGACTTTAACTACACGCTAAATTGACTTAATTTTATTTGTCTTATTGAACCAAGAACCTGAAAACGTCTTTTCATATACGGAAGCTTGTCCCTTGGTTATTTTACCTTTGCACACTACCATCTGCAATAGTGGCTAAGTGTGACTTTTTTCTTTGCAGACCTAGCAGCTCTGAGCAGACTTCTTCAAGTCGTCGACACTCTGATATATTCGATTCATTTCAGTCCCTGAAACTGAAATCCTCTCCCCAGCCAAAAGTTTCGCCAGCCATGAGCAGCTTACAAGGATATTATGGTCTTAAACCTCCAGATCAGAAAGCTGCTTCTGAAGGATTTGAAATGGCAGTGTATCGTAAGGGAGGATCACATTATTTAGAAGATGGCCCATTTTACAAATCCTCTTCTCTTTCAAATCCACCACTTAGTCTTCAGAGAAAATCTAAAAGTGTAGCTAATGGTTTTATGTCAGAGAATGGGGTTCCTGCAAATCATCTATCAACACAAGACACCAGAGACAATGGTTCGGATAGATGGTTTAAGAAATTAGTGAGAAGGCGTCAAAAGTCAGAGACTGATTTCACGCGTACTCCAGAAATGCTGTTGAAGGAAGATAACAGCAACAGTGGCTGGTTTTCAGCCGTCACTGGCAAGGGCTTAGCTTTGAGACCCAAGTCAGCTAATCGAACTCTCTCTGGAGCGGATGCTGAAGCAAATTCAATAAATCCTATTCCTATTGGCTTAGGGGATTCTTTACTAAACGACAGCACATCCGTAGTTAGGAAGTCATCAAGTACATCGAATTTGCAGGATTCAGATAGCGGTACATTGTCTTCCCTGTGGAATTTGAAGCCAGATTTTCAAGCAATTTCTACTGCAGCCATTACTAAGCCAATCTTTGATGGGCTACCTAAACCAATCACAGGTCGAAGAAACAAGGCCGCACTCGATTAGGTTATTCTTTCTGCATTAGCTGCTTAGAAGTTCATTTCTTCGATACTTTAGACAGCATCCTCTGGTGAAGTGATAAATGGAGAATTGAAGATAGAAGCAGACACTTTGGTTATCTCATGGTAAAAATAAACTTGTTTTGGTTTATGAATATCGGTTGGGGCATGTTCATATCTTCCATTGGTGAAGTTGAAGTGTCCTCAGAATTAGTTTGAGATTTATAGCAGCACCAAACTTGGGTGAAGCATCGATTTTTGCTATAGAATGGTAATGCATTATGACAGCAGATGTATATTAGGCATTTAAGTTGATTGATCTGAAATTGGGAGAGAGGATATTGTTTATACGTGTATTATATGATCTGTACATGATCACTTTTCTACACATGATTTGTGTTTTTATTTCATCTGGAGTGGAGATTGATAATTATTTTTACACAAACACACACTGAATTGCTAATCTTTTAATCATGTAGGCCATTCTTGCATGTAATATATATTTGATATTTGATATTTGATATTTGATGCCCAAGAAAAGGCATAATGTCAGAATTCAGAAAGATTAATTAACATTTGATTTTGATAGCAGCTAATCTTTACCCAATTTTAAAATAAATAATGATCTGATTATAAAAATATCTTGACATAGTCAACACGTAAAACAACACTATCCACAGAAAAGCAGCAAAAAATAACTAGAGAATCAGAAAAAAAAAACTTCATGTAAGCTACATTTTGCATTTTCTTTTGCAAGAATATTTTTTATCGGGTATCAAATGGGTGGGTTGAGTTGAAATTAGAAATATTAAAATGGATTGAAATAAAAATAATGATTGGATTGAGTTGAAATTGGAGATATTAAAATAGGTTGAAATTGGAGATATTAAAATAGGTTGAAATAAAAATCGAATTGGGTCAATGAATCGTCCAAATTTACTTTAGACTCAAATGGATTGAACTCAAATGGGCTAAAAAGTTGAGTCATGATCCGTTCAAATTGACCCGCTTAATCTTTATAATTTTAACATATTGTTATTTAACTTTTATAACCATAATTTGAATTTCAATTAAAAAAAAATAACAAATATAAGTTATAAATGGATAGATAAGTCTTAGAAAATATAGAATAAATAGTTAGTACTTCATACCTTTAATATGAGAATGTACAATACACTAATGTAAATAAAAAAATCTTATAACGGGTTGAAATTAAAAATTAAATTAGACTCAATTGAAAATTTATTAAAAATGAATTAAGGCTTGAATGGTTGAAATTGAATTCAATTCAATTTTTCTTAATCCCAACATATAAAATTATACAAGAATTAAACAAATTATCTATATTTGGAATCATTTTGACACCCTACTCTACTGTGCTACTCTACTGTGCAAGTATACTTTTAGAGAAGGACTAAAATACAAAAAAAAAGACTCGGCAAGCTTCTTTTAAGAGAAAATGGTCTTAAACCCCCCAATCTATACCCGAAATTCCAACTACACACTCCAACTTCAAGGGTGTCCTATTACCCCTGAACTTTATATTTCTCTATTTTCTACACACTTCAGTGCTGACCTGTCATAGGAGGTGTTCTCACCTCCTCTAGGCGTGTTAGAAGGTGAATTTGACGAAAAATCTCTCTTTTTCCAACAGTCATCTTCCCCACCCTTAAATAAACCATTGTTTCTTCTTCCCCACCATTAACCCTTGTTCCTTTTGTAAAAAAATCACGATTTTCTCTAAAAAAAATAAGTAGGATTTAATTGTTTATGTTTATTTCTACTTCAAATCTTGAATTTAGGGTTTGTAATCTGCTCTAATTTCTTATTTAGGTCTCTAATTTGAATTTTGAATTTTCTCGAAATTCATCAAAAATGACAAATGAACTTGAATAAGCTAAATCAGTTGATAAACTACGAAATCAAGTTGAAAATACACAGCAAAATGCTTCGATCATCAACTGAAATGCATATGCAAATGGAGTAGGAGATGAAAAGGAGAAAGGATGATTTTTGGGTCTTTTACATTTTAGGAGGGAAATAGAGAAAAAAGGGAATTGGGAGTTGAAGAGGTGGGGGACCCGGCGCGTGCAATCACGTTGGACTATTTGTTGGTTTATGTGTTGAGGTCAGCGTTTAAGTGTGTAGAAAATAGAGAAATATGAAGTTCAGGGGGATAATAGAACACCCATAAAGTTGGAGTGTGTAGTTGGAATTTCGGGTATAGGTTGGGGGGCTTTAGACCATTTTCTCCTTCTTTTAATGCACCTTTCCCTTTCTCCTTTTTTGACAATTGATTGCATCATAATAAATTCCTTAACAACTACTTCCTCTATTTTTTTTTAGTCCATCCGTTTAAAAAAAAAAGACCTAGTTTAATTTGGAACAGAGTTTAAGAAAAGAAAAAAGACTTTTTAATTTTGTGGTTCTAAATTAAAATTATGTTAAATGTACCAAAATGCCCTTTAATCTTGTGGCCTTAAACATGTCACGTGGAAAGTTGAAGTTAAAGTGTTGCCAAAAAAGAAAAGAGGTCATTCTTTTTTAAACAGACTAAAAAGGAAATTAGATCATTCTTTTTGAAACAGAGAGAATACTTGTTAAATTTTGACTTGACATACCTAATAAGAAAATAATGATTACTATAGTGAGTTTACAATTTGAGTCATACAATCTTAGACATATTTACTCATTATATTTTTCAAAGACATTAACTCAATGTTAATAAACTGGGGTATCATAGAGAAAAAAAATTATTTTTTCTTGATTTGTCAAAAATGACAAGTAAATAAAGAAATCAAATTAAGAAATATTTGACAAGTAAATATGGACAAGTAATATAAGTGTCACTTTAGGGCATAACAAAAATTTCCATCCTCAACACAAAAATCAGTATATGATTTTTTAATGGTCATTTTACATAAATAATATAATATAATACATTAATTACAAATTATAATATAATATATACTCTTACTGAAAACAGTATTAGTTTTGTTACCAGAAATAGCAAAACACCAAATTTGCCGCCGGAAGTACTCCATGTTGGCTGATGCGGTCATGGTAACCCTTGGTGATATTGCTCAGGTAAGATTTGGATTAATCTATTTAGACATTTCAGATTTTTTTATTATGACTTTACAATTTTTAAGAAAAAATATAAGTAATTAATTAACATATTTTAGTACCGTTAATAAGAGAAAAAATAACCAATAATTATAATACATTTTGAATTTAATATATTATAGGCATGTTTCAATGCATGTGGTGAATATATAACTAAAATATTTTTAATACAAATATATTATAAGTATTATATCTGAATTTCAAATATTCCGGTACTATTTAAATTAGTTTACATCATTAGAAATGTATTATATTTGTTTTGGAATAATAACTATCGAATTTATAGTAATGTATAATATCGAATTCAAATTGTATTATAACTATCATTTATATTTATACAATTTTAATACAACTTTAATACAGTTTTTTCAGAGCTTCACCTCTTCTTATTCGGTAAATCACCATCACTAGACCACCGATTGTTTATACTTGATACAATTTTGATACAACTTTAATATAATTTTTCAAAACTTCATCTAATATATAACTAAAACATTTTTAATACAAATATATTATAAGCACTATATGTGAATGTCAAACATTAACTATCATTTATATTTATACAATTTTAATACAACTTTGATACAGATTTTCAGAGCTTCATCTTTTTTTCTCGTAATTACCACCACCAGACCACCGATTGCTTATATTTAATACGGTTTTGATACAACTTTAATACAATTTTTTAGAACTTCACATAATATACAATTTTAATACAACTTTAATACACATTTTTATCAAATGGTCATTAAAACTAAAATTATGTCATATATGGTAATAAAAATAAAATAACACTTAAAAGTGTGATTAATCCAATAAAATATATTATCTATGTAAAAATTTCATTTTCAATTATATTCTTATACTCCATCTTCTTAATAATGTTCAATTTTCAAGACACGTTAAATAAGAATAATTTAGTTAACTATACATTATATTAGGGGTGTCAAATGGGCGTGTTGGGTTGAAATTTGAGATATTAAAATGGGTTGAAATAGAAATTAGGCTGGGTCCTAACCCACCCAAGTTTACTTTGGGCTCAAATAAGTTGGACTCTAATGGGCTTAAAAACTAGTTGGGTCTTGACCCGCTTAATTCAATAATTTTAATATATTGTTATTTAAGTTTTATAACCACAATTTGAATTAAACTAAAGAAAATCTAAAAAAAGGAAGTTACAAATGGATAGATAAATTCTAAAAGATATAAATATATAGTAATTCATACCTTTAATATAGGAACATATACATTACATCAATGCAATAAAGAGTCTTAAAACGGGTTTAAATTAGAGATTAAATTGGGCTCAATTGAGGATTCTCTTAAATGAGTTAGGACTTGAATGGGAGACTTGACTTGAAACCCTAGGTTGACTTCTTCTTCTTCAAGCTTTCTAGAGAGAGAAAAATGATCCTCTTCAAACTCAGCCTCGCTTGCTTGCCCGGAAGGGCCCGGAAGAGGAAGTGATCCCCCGACACTAAAAACAAAAATCCCAGAGAGAAGCTGAGAACACAAAATCCCTAAATGGGATAGCAAATAGTTCCTAAGAAATTGAGAGAATGATTTCAATTGGGGAAATTTAGGGTTTAAAACACTTATATATGACTTCTAGGTAAAGGCAAAACGACAAAGTGTTAGGATAGAATAATTAGGAAAAGACCCAAAAGCCCCTGACTTAAAGTTGATGCAACCACCGGACGGTGGCCCTCACGAGTCATTGTGGCAGTCATGGTCCTTGACCAATGGCCTGGGGAGAGGCCCCCTGCTGCCTTACCCCTTCACGACCACCTTAATGGGTCATTTGCCTCTTCACGACCCATCTAGGGGTTCGTGGGAGGAGGCTAACTTTGGGGATAGGTTCTACCTCCCCCACACGGGAGTCATAACGACTCGTCTACCTTCCCACGGGTCATTAAGACCCTCGTGGGAGGGGTCCCTACCCAGCATAGAGGACTTGCCACGGGCCACCACACGGACCATGGTCCCCTTCACAGCCCGTCTAGGGTTCCGTGGAGGTTCCATGGTCCAAGTGTTGGCCTTTGAGTTCTTTCTCATTACCCCTTTTTAGGCATTTCTTGAATTCGAGCTGTTACACCCTGTCTATCATTGGGAAAAATCATGCAATTGGGTCAACACTGAGCCACTCAGACTTAACCCACATCAAATTAGGCACAAACCCAGCAAATTAAGCAATTCAATCCAACAATTTAACCAACACAATTCATCATTTTTACAGGAATTCACAATTAAAATCACACGGACACAGTTAAATTTCAATAATATG